AAAAAAAAAAAAAACACCATTTGACTTTGTATGTGATGGTTTAGTTCTGAGCTCTCTAGACTATTCCCTTGGTCTGTATGTCTTTATGCCAGTACCCCACTGTTTTGACTATTGCAGCTTTATCGTGAGTTTTGAAACTAGGAAGTGATTACCTCCAACTTTTTTCTTTTTTTAAAGGTGGTTTTGGCTACTCAGGATCCCTTGAGATTCCATGTGAATCTTAGGATGGGTTTTTCTGTTTCTGTATTGTTGGGATTTTGATAGAGATTGCACTGAATCTGTAGATCCTTTTGGGTAGCATTGATATCTTAACATTAAACCTTCCAATCCATGAACATGGTCTGTCATTCAATTTTTTTGTTTTTAATTTATCAGTGTTTTGTAGTTTTCAGTGTACATGTCTTTCACCTCTGTAGTTAATTCCCAAGCATTTTATTCTTTATGATACTATTGTATATGGAATTGTTTTCTTAATATCCTTTTAGATTGTTCATTGTTTATATATAGAAATGCAACTGATTTTGTGCATGACTTTGTCCCTTGCTACTTTGCTGAATTCATTTATTAAACAGTTTTTATATGGAATCTTAAGCATTTTCCACATAGAAGATCATACCATCTGTGAACAGTTTTACTTCTTGCTTTCCAATTTGGATGCCTTTTATTTCTCGCCCATTTCTCTGGCTAAAACTTCCAGTACTATGTTGAATATTAGGGACAGAAGTAGGCATCCTTGCCTTATTCCTAATATTAGAGGAAAAGCTTTCATTCTTTCACCATTGAGTCTGATGTGTACTGTGTGTTTTTCATTTAAGACTTTTATTATGTTGAGGCAGTTTCCTTCTATTCCTAGTTTGTTGAGTGTTTTTATCATGAAAGTATTTTGAGTTTTTTCATATGCTTTTTCTACATCAACTGAGATGATTATGTCATTTTTTCCTTTATTCTGTGAATGTGGCATATCACATTGATTTTTGTGTGTCGAACCATCCTTGCATGTCAGGAATAAATACCACTTGGTCATGTGGTAGTATCCTTTTAAGATACTACTGAATTTGGTTTGCTAGTATTTTTAGATCAGTGTTCATAAGGGATATTTGTCTTTAGTTTCCTTTCTTACTGTGTCTCTGTCTGGCTTTAGTGTCAGGCAGTCCTGGCCTTACGGAATAAGTAGGAAGTGTTCCTTCCTCTACCATTTTTTGGAAAAGTTTAACAAGGATTGATATTCTTCATTTTTATTTTTTAAAAGATTTTTATTTATTTGAGAGACAGAACGAGAGAGATCACAGAGGGAGAGGGAGAAGCAGGCTCCCCGCTGAGCAGGGAGCCTGACATGGGGTCCGACTCCAGGACCCTGCAATCACAACCAGAGCCAAAGGCAGACGCTTAACCAACTGAGCCACCCAGGCGCCCCAAGGATTGGTATTCTTCTTCAAATGATTGGTAGAATTCACCAGTGAAACCATCTGGTCCCTGCTTTTCTTTGTTGGGAAGTTTTTGATCACTTATTCAGTCTTTGCAGTAGTTATAGGTCTACTTAGGTTTTCGGTTTCTTCGTGATTCAGTCTTAGGTTTGTTTCTAGGAATTGTCCATTTTATCTAGGTTATCCAATTTATTGGCACACAGTTATTCATAGTGCTGTCTTATAATCTTTTTTTGTTTCTCTACAGTCAGTAGTAACATCCCCACTTTCTAATTTTAGTAATTTGAGTCTTCTCTCTTTTCTTAGCCACTCTAGCTAAATTTTTGTCTATTTTGTTGATCTTTTGAAGAACCAGCTGTTGTTTCTCATTGATTTTCAATTCTGTATTTTATTTATCTCTGCCTTTTGTTATTTCCTTCTACTAGCTTTAGGTTTAGTTCTTTTTCTTTTTTTTTTTTT